CTTAGTCATGGCGATGTAGGAGATTGTGTCAAAGTAATTTATCATCATAAATAATTCTCAGACTTCTCTAAGAACTGCAGTTTTGCTGTTTTCTTTAATCTTTTTACTGCTTTTGACACATCATGACATGGTGTGGGGTCAGTAAGGTCTGTAGCAGGAGAGGAAGTGGCTGCTCTGCTGAGGACCTTGTTTCTCTACAAACATACCTAGGGTCTCACCTCTAAAATTCTTTCCTAAGGAAGTCATCACATGCTAAACATCTGTGTATAAGAATGTTAAAACGATATGTGCACTGCTGCAACATGAGGACATAAGATGTATGTCTAGCAGTAGAAGAGTCTTTGCATAGATTTGGTGCAGCCTACGAAGTAGTGTTGTGCAATCACTAAGAGGCCTGCTGTTCTGGATACAAGATGGTGAGCGGAGGCACAGAGCACCACCAGCTGCGAGAGCAGGCTGATGGCGTTGAGGACAGCCTGGTGCCCTTGCAGACCTTGGCTCCCCTCCTAGGCACCCACTGCAGGTAAACTCAAGTGTCACTGGCGAGGAGCCATGTGACAGAATGTGCAGTGATAGTTGGAAGCCACCACATGCCCACCAGTAGGAGCGTGGAGGAATGTACTGTGGTGTACACAGGACATGTGTCTGGCCTTTAGCATTCACCACCAGGCTCTGCTGCAGGAGGCAGAGGTGTGTGCAGGAGCCATGAAGACGTGGAGCAGAAAGCAAGTCACAAAGAATTTGCACCACACAGAGGGCGACAATGTATATAAGGGGCATGGAGTGTTTATCTCTGGTTGAAAACAAATGGAAATACACTTCAGAATATCAGAGCTATGAGAAACCAAGGAAATTGGGAGCCTCCCAGATTCAGGGAGAATACAGAGAGGTGACATCTGCTGTGTGATCTGGGGACTGGGTCTTGAAGCGGTAGCACAGCTGATGGACCGTGCAGAGACTGTGATCAGGCAGGCTGAGAACCGGCCCTGATGTCGCTTTAGGAAATGGATAGTCTACAGCTTACCCTCAGTGGCCCAAGAGAAACGGTGTGTGTGTGCACAGGTAATGCAAGGAGAATAAGTAACAAAGGGGCAGAGTGGTGGGCCTGAAGAGAGGTGGAGAGCGCCCTTTGTATTCTCTCAACTTTTCCCAATCTGAAGTTATATCAAGATTATGAAGTTACCAACAAGCCTAAAAGATTGTACTGTTTACAGACACAGGACATCCATGAGGCAACATGCAGGAGTAGTGCCCTCCACTCTTGGGGCCATGCTCCCCCGGAGGGCCGGGGAGGAGGAATGTTACCCTGATGGCCATGAAAGGCCCTGGACTGCTACGGTTTGCTCACACAGGGTTATGAGCTTAGACTGCACATATCCTGCCCTGCCCCCTCCGGAGGCCTTCACTCTACTCTGACTACATCCATGGTCCCTGTCTCACTCTGGCTTTCCTCTGAACTGCCTTTTGTCTGGCTGCTGGCCTTTTGAGCAGCCTGCTTCTCTAGCTCCCAGCGTGGGAGGTAAGAGGCGGAAAGAGAGCCCTGGGGACTGTCACTGAGCTGCACGTGGGGACCGGGGCCCCAGCTGGCCTGTCTCCTGTCAACCTTCAGAGTTACATCTGTTCTGTGCAGAATCCTGGGATTTTTGCTGTACCGAGAGGAGGGGTAGGGAAAGTGCATCTTGTCCATCCTCCAGAAGTGAGGGTCCTGTGAGATGCAGAGCTGTTCAGGCTGCTCCTGATTGCTTGAGTACTGGTAACTTCTGTCTGGTGGAATCTGTACACTGAAGCGGCACAGTGGGTGGGCATGAAGTTAATAGTCACGTTCTCTTAGTAGGACCTGCGGTGGTGCCCCTTCTTCCATTTCCTGTTCTGGTCGTTTGTGTCTTGTCTCGTTTTGCCTTGGTGGTCTGGCTATAGATCTGTTGTTTTCAAGGAACAGATCTGGTTTCACTGCATTTTCTCACTTTTTCTGTCTTATATTTCATTGATACCAGCTCCTTGTTACTCCTTTCCTTCTACTCCCTTTGGGTTTAATTTAGTCTCCTTCTGCTTTTAGATCATTAATTTGAAACATTCTTTCTTTGCAATATAAACATTTAATAACACTTCCAGAATCATATTACACAAGTAACACAGATAAGCCATGGGCTTAATGTTCTCATGACAGAAAGGCAAGCATTTTGGTTTAATGTGAGACTGTGTCCAGAGGGGACTTAGGATGGCAGAATGTCTGAAACCCACCCTACAAGAAAGAAGCCAATAAGCTGTGCCCAGCAGCCCAGGGGAGAGGAGATGCCTGGGGGCAGGAGAGCTGTTTTCAAATGGATGAATGAGTTAGGCAGCAAAGTATATGATGGGGAATTAGCACGAATGGGTAGCAATTAACAGGAAGATTTCACTGAATGAAAGGAAGTGCTTCCCACAATCAGACCCGTTGAAACTGAGGACCAGCTGATGGGCTGGAGTGGACATGGCTGCACTAGGATGAACAGATAAGCCCTTCAGGTCTTTCTGGCTCTCAAACCAGCAGTTCCTCCTACTAGTACGCTCCCGAATGTCCGGAGAGAGGCGTTTCTAAAAAATGCCTGCAGCAGCAAGATCAGAAATACAAATTCCCATCACTGGATCAGTAGGGAGCTGGCCAATAGCTTAAGATACATCCATACACGTTACAAGGCTTAAACAAATTAATACATGTAAGTTAATATACATAAATTAACAGAATAGTACTGGCCCATGATTCAGCATCGTGTGAGTCAGCTGTGGGCATGAGTGTGATGCAGTGAGCCATGTAAAAGCCTTGGACCCACGTGCACTGTCAGAATGGTCCACACACTGTACAGCGGGAGCAGGGAACAGAGCAATATGTGGAGCACGCCTGTCTCCACAGGTGTGTGAAGACAGAAGCTGTGACAGTAGTACTGGGGAGGGCGGCTAGACTCCTGAGGCCTCAGGTGACTTCTGTGAGGTTCTGGATAGAGCATGCATGTTAGATCGCCCACTGTTCCCCACCTCATCCCTCTAAATGGATGACCCAAATGGGTAGTGATTCAAGATCTCTAAGTGTCCATCACAATTCTCCTTGGTACATCATTTTTTAATGTTCTCATTGGTTTCTGGATGTTTCCAATCTTTTCCTTAGTCATGGCGATGTAGGAGATTGTGTCAAAGTAATTTATCATCATAAATAATTCTCAGACTTCTCTAAGAACTGCAGTTTTGCTGTTTTCTTTAATCTTTTTACTGCTTTTGACACATCATGACATGGTGTGGGGTCAGTAAGGTCTGTAGCAGGAGAGGAAGTGGCTGCTCTGCTGAGGACCTTGTTTCTCTACAAACATACCTAGGGTCTCACCTCTAAAATTCTTTCCTAAGGAAGTCATCACATGCTAAACATCTGTGTATAAGAATGTTAAAACGATATGTGCACTGCTGCAACATGAGGACATAAGATGTATGTCTAGCAGTAGAAGAGTCTTTGCATAGATTTGGTGCAGCCTACGAAGTAGTGTTGTGCAATCACTAAGAGGCCTGCTGTTCTGGATACAAGATGGTGAGCGGAGGCACAGAGCACCACCAGCTGCGAGAGCAGGCTGATGGCGTTGAGGACAGCCTGGTGCCCTTGCAGACCTTGGCTCCCCTCCTAGGCACCCACTGCAGGTAAACTCAAGTGTCACTGGCGAGGAGCCATGTGACAGAATGTGCAGTGATAGTTGGAAGCCACCACATGCCCACCAGTAGGAGCGTGGAGGAATGTACTGTGGTGTACACAGGACATGTGTCTGGCCTTTAGCATTCACCACCAGGCTCTGCTGCAGGAGGCAGAGGTGTGTGCAGGAGCCATGAAGACGTGGAGCAGAAAGCAAGTCACAAAGAATTTGCACCACACAGAGGGCGACAATGTATATAAGGGGCATGGAGTGTTTATCTCTGGTTGAAAACAAATGGAAATACACTTCAGAATATCAGAGCTATGAGAAACCAAGGAAATTGGGAGCCTCCCAGATTCAGGGAGAATACAGAGAGGTGACATCTGCTGTGTGATCTGGGGACTGGGTCTTGAAGCGGTAGCACAGCTGATGGACCGTGCAGAGACTGTGATCAGGCAGGCTGAGAACCGGCCCTGATGTCGCTTTAGGAAATGGATAGTCTACAGCTTACCCTCAGTGGCCCAAGAGAAACGGTGTGTGTGTGCACAGGTAATGCAAGGAGAATAAGTAACAAAGGGGCAGAGTGGTGGGCCTGAAGAGAGGTGGAGAGCGCCCTTTGTATTCTCTCAACTTTTCCCAATCTGAAGTTATATCAAGATTATGAAGTTACCAACAAGCCTAAAAGATTGTACTGTTTACAGACACAGGACATCCATGAGGCAACATGCAGGAGTAGTGCCCTCCACTCTTGGGGCCATGCTCCCCCGGAGGGCCGGGGAGGAGGAATGTTACCCTGATGGCCATGAAAGGCCCTGGACTGCTACGGTTTGCTCACACAGGGTTATGAGCTTGCTGGTGATCTTTACAGTATTGTTACACTCTCCATGTGTTTGAAACATTTCATAAAAATACATTTCAAATGCAGGTATGAGTTATGTATATACAACTAATTGGATTTTAGTTCATCTTAGTGGTGTTATGAAACCTTTACATTTTCTTTTCAAAGAAACAGTGCTCATAAATTGAACAAAGTGAAAAATAAGAATTTTAGGTGTATATTATATGTATATGCATGCAAAGAAAATAGTCTGGAAAGGAAAACATCAAAATATTTACACTGTATCTGGTGGAAATACAGGGAACTTCAAGTTAACTTGAATTTTTGTATACTGTCAGTCTTCCAAACTCTACGAACATGCATGAATTTTGTTATCAGAATGGGAAGAGAAAAAAACTCACTGGCCATTTAGGAACTTACACAGACTAGTCCAAGCGACTGCCAGCAAGTGACCCTCGCTCTGGCCTGCCTGCTCTTAGCACTGCCCACAGCCTGTCCCTTGTCCCTTGCAGATAGGCTTCACCACCGACCCACGCATGGCCCGCTCTTCACCCTACCCCACCGACGTGGCCCGTGTCGTGAATGCCCCCATTTTCCACGTGAACTCGGATGACCCGGAGGCTGTCATGTATGTGTGCAAGGTGGCAGCCGAGTGGAGGAGCACCTTCCACAAGGACGTGGTGGTAGACCTGGTGAGTGACCATGCTGTGTCCTGGAGAGCGCTGAGACTAACCTCGCTGCCCCTCCTGAGGACTCCTAGGTCGGCCTAGGTGAGCCACACTAGGGGAGAAGGTGGTGGGGTCCTCTCCCAGGACATTCCCAGGTCACTCCTATTTCATCTTACATGTGAGGGAGAATGGGCAGGACCTTGACTCCGGAGGAGGTGGCCCAAGGCGGCATGCTGGAGTGAGGGTCCTCATGAGTCCCCAGTCCAGCCAGCAGCCCCTGATGCCAGCATCTTGGCTGTACCCAGGTATGCTACCGGCGAAATGGCCACAACGAGATGGACGAGCCCATGTTCACACAGCCACTCATGTACAAGCAGATCCGGAAACAGAAGCCAGTGCTGCAGAAGTATGCAGAGCTGCTGGTATCCCAAGGTGTGGTCAACCAGCCCGAGTACGAGGTGCGTCTCGGGCCGCTGCCCACTGCTGCTTTTGTGCATTCTAGGATCCCAGGGAGGATGTGTGCACAGCCACAGCATCTCAATGCAAAATGTCCTGAGGGCTCCATGGAGTTGGCAGGACTGGGGGGCACAGTACCCAGGAGAGGTGCCCGTGGGCCCTCCCAGCTGCCAGCCCCGTGCAGGCAAGAGGCAGGTGAAGGATCCACCCTAAGTGCCTGGTGTGATCTGGCCAGCTTGGTGGGTTTGTGTGGGAACAGTAAGCAACAGGCAGGCTGAATCACCGCCAGGCAGCCGTGGGAGCGGCACTGAGACTAGGGCAGGTGTGGGGTTCACCCCCACCCACCTCAGGCTGTGCAGGAGGAGTTGGGGTGGGGGCTCAACCTTAGATCAGGCTTGCAGCTGGCATGCAGGAATGGAAACAGTAGAATGGGGCAGGTTCTCACAGGCCCCTGGAAGGCAGTGGGGTCAGGGTCCTGCAGTCTGCAGTGTGGCAGGTGGGCCTGTGCAGAGCACCCAACAGCCGTGCATGCCACCCGCCAGGAGGAGATCTCCAAGTATGACAAGATCTGTGAGGAGGCCTTTGCCAGGTCCAAGGATGAGAAGATCTTGCACATCAAGCACTGGTTGGACTCCCCCTGGCCTGGTGAGTGAGGGGTATCACAGTGAATCCTTCCCTCACCTCCAGAGCACCCCTGTAGGCCCCTGATTCAGATCCCCAACTGCCAACCCGTCAGGGACACAGCCTAGGCCGCCTTTCCCACCATCTTATGTGGCCACATTTCAGCTCCTGGAAGGTGACAGCCGGGAGTCAGCTTGTCTCCCCTTCTACTAGGCTTCTTCACCCTGGACGGGCAGCCCAGGAGCATGACCTGCCCCTCCACTGGCCTGACAGAGGACATTCTGACACACATTGGGAATGTGGCCAGCTCCGTGCCCGTGGAGAACTTCACCATTCATGGAGGTAACCACACCTGGCTGGTTTCTGGGAGCATTGGGCTGAGCACAGTGATGACTTCCCTGGGTCAAAGCTGGGTGGTTGAATGACAGGGACCCTGCCCCAGTCGCCCCTGCCCTAGGGTGGTCCCTGGCCAGCCAGACTGTGAAGGAAAGGAGAGTGCGTCCCCACCACTCTGTGGCCCAGCCTGCAGTCAGCTGCCTTCCATGCCTCCCTGTCCCTCCCTGGCAAGTTAGGACTCCAGAAGCCATGGCCAGGCTCTGGCCTGGTAGGGGGAGAGCATGCAGAGCAGCCGGTGAGCGCCCATCTCCGCAGGGCTGAGCCGGATCTTGAAAACTCGCGGGGAGCTGGTGAAGAGCAGGACCGTGGACTGGGCCCTGGCGGAGTACATGGCCTTCGGCTCCCTCCTGAAGGAGGGCATCCATATCCGGCTGAGTGGCCAGGATGTGGAGCGGGGCACCTTCAGGTACCACTCTCAGGGTTACTGTGGGCCCTTTAACACACAAGAGGTGGGGGCTGTGCTGTTCTTCTGCCCAAGTCGCTACAGGCGACCAGCTGGCTGGCCTCAGACCCAGAGGCACCTCCCTGCTCTGGTTTGGGTTCTTCTGTTAGGAACTGTGCTTTGTGTGTCTGCTGCCACCATGGGCAGAGCACAGGCCTGGCCCCTGCCTACTGACCTGTGCTGTTCTGCCCCAGCCACCGCCACCACGTGCTACACGATCAGAATGTGGATAAGAAAACCTGCATTCCCATGAACCACCTCTGGCCCAGCCAGGCCCCCTACACTGTGTGCAACAGCTCGCTGTCTGAGTACGGGGTCCTGGGTGAGCGCTGTGGCCGTGAGACCCCACCCCACCCCACCCCCACCCCTGCTCCCACCCTGGCTGCTCAGGTCTGCTCTGCTCCCTCCTGCCCTGCAGGCTTTGAGCTGGGCTTCGCCATGGCCAGTCCTAATGCCCTGGTCTTGTGGGAAGCTCAGTTTGGTGACTTCCACAACACGGCCCAGTGCATCATTGACCAGTTCATCTGCCCAGGACAAGCCAAGTGGGTGCGGCAGAATGGCATCGTACTGCTGTTGCCCCATGGCATGGAGGGCATGGTGAGCCTGCCACCATCCCCTTGCAGCCTAGGGTATGGGGCTGTTCAGGACCCTGACCCAGAGATGGTCCTGCGGGCATCCCGGGTGCTGCCCGTCCCAGAAGGCAGGAAAGCAGGTCCTGCTCTCCCCTCCATGAGAGGCTGGGGAGGGGGTGGGGGTGGCAGATGCAGGCCAGCCAGGCCCTGTGCAGGGCGGGCCTACTCCTGAGGCAGGTATGCCGCCTCCATGCTTCAGAGTGGGGGACTAACATGCCAGCCAAGCCGAGAATTTGGCATTTCCAGAGCAGAAGTGCACAAATCATTAAGGAAGAGACGTAGCACATGTCCACATGCAAGAGGCTGCGGACAGTAATAGTGTGTCTGGTTCCAGGGCCCAGAGCACTCCTCTGCCAGGCCAGAGCGGTTCCTGCAAATGTGCAACGATGATCCAGATGTCCTGCCGGTGAGGACAGCCGCCCCTGGCTCCCCTGCTCTGGCCCCTGGGATCCCCAGGGCTGGGTGAGGAGGAGGGGAGGCAGGGCCACCTGCCAGCTCCCTGCCGAGGCCTCTGCTCTGTGGGCCAGGCTGTACCTCTCAGAGCTGCAGGAGGTTGAGACCGAGAATCCGGGTCCGAGCAGGAGGCGAGCAGGAGTAGCTCTTGTCCTGTCCCCTTATTTGGGCCTGCAGTGCAGTGTGGCACCCGAGGCTGAGACCTAGCCCCAGGCGGGTGCTCAGTGCCACCGGCCTCTGGCCACCCCTCGCTGCAGAACCTGGAGGAGGCCAACTTTGACATTAACCAGCTGTACGACTGCAACTGGATTGTAGTCAACTGCTCCACCCCTGGCAACTTCTTCCACGTGTTGCGCCGCCAGATTCTCCTGCCTTTCCGGAAGCCGGTCAGTTGGATGTCCATGTTCAGACAGGCCTGGACCAAGGAGTGCAGGGCCCCAGCCCAGTAGGAGGATGGACTTGGAGATGGGAGATGCTCTGAATTGGAGGAGGGGAGCCTGGGCAGGGTCATGGGAGTAGAGGCCCAGGAAACAGCTCCTGGGTAGGAGTAGAAGGTGTGTCACAGTGTGTGTGATGGTCTGGAGGACAGCACCTGTGCCACAGGTCAAGGTGAGCACCAGGTGGACATAGGACAGGGTCAGGGATGCTGAGGAGGGGCTCAAAGTTCTTTCCCAGACACAGGGTGGGGCGTGCCCAGGTTCAGACAGGCTGTGGGCCTGCCTCTCCCCAGCCCGTCCTGACTGCAGAGCTGGGCAAGTGCCTGGCCTGCCTGGGGCCGAAGCCTGTGCAGGCTGTGCTGACCCCTCTTGGGTCCTGAGCCAGTGCTTTTGCATTTCAGCTCATCGTCTTCACCCCGAAGTCACTGCTGCGACATCCCGAGGCCAGGACTAGCTTCGATGAGATGCTTCCAGGTGGGCACAAGGGGTGGGCGGTCCAGGACTCTTCCTGCTGCTCTGTGGGGCCTGGGCATACACCCATGACCCTGTGCCACATTTTTGGCCATTGGGTGAAGACCACCCACACAACAGCCCAGAAGTTGGAGCTTCCATTACCAATTGCGTCCCACCCACACCTGCACCTTTGCCCTGGTACACCCCCAGGCCTCATTCAGAGGCAGCAGAGTGAGTCAGAGCTTAGTGCTCACCACTGCCAGGTGCTGCTCCTGGAGGGTGACAGCAGCTCACCAGGAGGCACGGAGCAGAGACCCCAGAGATGGGGCCGCGGGCACCACAGCTGCACAGTGGTGCAAGGTGCAGCCTGCAGCATTGACGTTCCCCGGAGACAGCATCCCCAGCTCCCTGGGCAGGGGAGCCACCTTGAGCCATGGCCAGCCTCCTGTGTTCCTCAGTCAGGATGAACCCCTTATTTGTTTTTCCAATTTGTTGTTGTTATAGTAAACAACATATAATAACAAAATTTACACTCTTAACATTTGTAAGCGTGTAGCTCAGGGGCAGTAAGCACATTCACAGTGTCATGCAGCATCCCAACCATCATCTCCAGAACTTTCCATCTTCCCAAACTGACACTCGGTCCCAATTAAGCAGTAACTCCCCATCCCCCGCTCCCCAGCCCCGACTCCCAACATCTCATTTGACTGTTACCTCATGTAAGTGGGGTCGTGCAGTATTGGTCCTTTTTTTGTGACTGGCTTCACTCAGCATACTGTCCTCAAGGGTCATCCATGCTATGGCAGGTGTCGGCATTCCCTTCCTTTTTATGGGTGAATACTGTACCATTGTAAATCGACCACATTTTGTCTATCCATTCATCTATCAGTGGACACTTGGGGTGCTTCTGTAGATAGATTAGCCATTGTGAGTGATGCAGCTGTGAACACAGGTGTGCAAGTATCTCTTCAAGACCCTGAGTCCATTTCTGGGCAGACACCCAGATGTGGGGTTATTCAGTCACGTGGTGATTCTAGGTTTAATTCTGGGGGTGGGTGCTATACTGTGTACACAGCAGCACCATTTCACATTCTCCACAGTGCACAGGGGTTCTTATTTCACCACATCCTGGCCAGCACTTGTTTTCTGTATTGTGCTTTTGTTTTTAATAAAAGGCATCCTAGTGGCCGTGAAGTGGGACCTCATTGTGGATTTGATTTGCATTTCCTGGATGATTAGTGATATTGAGCATCTTTTCATGTGCTTATTGTCCATTTGCATATCTTTGGAGAAATGTGTGTTCAAGCTCATTTTTTTAATTGTGTTGTTTTGTTGTTGAATTTTAGGAGTTTTCTTTATGCTAAATATTAATCCCTCTTCAGATTGTGACTTATAGCTATTTTTTCCATTCTGTGTGTTGTCTTCTGCTGCACAAAATTTTGAATTGTCCCTGTGACCCAGGGTTCATCTCCTGCTTCTGTGGCCTGTGACTTTGGTTGTCACAACCAGAAATCACTGCAGAACCTGGGATTATGAAGCTTATGCCCCTGTGTTTTTTCCTCTAAGAGTTTTATGATTTTAGCTCACATTTAAGTCTTTAATGCATTTTCAGTTAATTTTTGCATATGGTGTACAGGTCCAGTGTCATGCCTGTGGAAATCCGGTTTTCCTGGCATCGTGCATTAAAAAGACTGTCCTTTACCTGTGGAATGGTTTGGCATCCTTATAAAAAATCATTTGATCATCCATGTGAGGGTTAATTTCTGGGCTGTCAGTACTCTGTGCCAGGACCACAGTTTTGATTACTGTAGCTTTGTAGCAGGATTCAAAATCAGGAAGTGAGAGTCTTCCCGCTTTGTTCTTTCTCAAGATAGTTTTGGCTATTCAGGGTCCTTTGAGATACCTCTAATTTTAGGATGGCTTTTTCTATTTCTGCAAAAAAAAAGTCACTGGGATTATAGTAGGTACTGCACTGAATCTGTAGATTGCCTTGGTAGTATTAACTTCATGACATTAAGTTCCATCTCTAAACCACAAGTATCTTTCCATTTATCAGTATCTTTAGTTTATTTCAGTAATGTTTTATAATTTTCAGTATACGAGTCTTTTACCTCCTTGGTTAAGTTTATTCTTAAGTATTTTATATTTTTATTAAGATTTGACGCTGTTTTCAATGAGATTGTTTTCTTACTTTGTTAGTGTGTAGAAATGCAACTGAGTTCTTAGGGATATTTTCTTTCCTGCAACTTTGCTTAATTTGTTTATTAGTCCTAACAGGACTACTAACTAAAACCTCACAGGTTTTTCTATGGAGTCCCCAGGGTTTTTTTCTATGTATAAGATTGTGTTATCCACAAAAGGAGTTCATTTTACTTCATTTCTAATTTAGGTGCCTGTTACTTCCTTTCCTTGCCTAATTGCTCTGGCTAGAAATCCAGTGTTGTGTTGAATAATGTGGTGGGGTGGGCATCGTGGTCTTGCTCCTGATCTCAGAGGAAAGGCCCTCAGCTTCCCGTGAGCGGCATTCACAGAGGCTTCCTCTCTAGCCTGTTCCGTGTGGAGGTGTTTCCTTCTTATTCTGGGGTGCCGCATGTATGTCTGTCAATGAGCCCCTCACTTTGGACACAGCTTCATGAAGTTGGCCTTGCTCCTGGAAGCACAGTCCCACCCAGGAGCTTCTGGATATTTGCTTCAGCCGTGTAGGAAGTGTCAGTATGTACATGCTCATGAGGAGTGAGTCAGCAGAATGGCAGTGGGGTTCTTCGATAACTTTAGTTGCCCCGAGTCTGAGACAGGCTTTTTGAGGAAAGAACTGGTGTCACTTGCCCCCCAGGGCTGGCCTTGCCCACCGTGCCTGTTATGGGCAATGTGCTTCTCCAAGCTCTCTGGGTCTGGACATCCCAGGGCCTCAGAGGCCAGCAGGTTGGGGAGCAGCACAGTCCCTGAACCACAAGGTATGGTGTCAGCCTGGGGAGCCCTGCCTCGCAGGCCCCAGCAGAAGGACATCCTCAGCCAAGTCCTGAGAGGAACCCTACTTGGGGATTCTGTCATAGGAACACACTTCCAGCGGGTGATCCCGGAAGATGGCCTTGCAGCACAGTACCCAGAAAATGTCAAGAGACTTCTCTTCTGCACCGGCAAGGTGTACTATGATCTCACCAGAGAGCGCAAGGCACGCGGCGTGGCAGAGCAGGTGGCCATCACGAGGATCGAGCAGGTGAGGGCAGTTGGGACTGAAGCCAGTCCCACACCCCTCCTTGGGCATCAGGACCCCCCGGAGCCTTCTCAGAGCTTCTGAAATACCTACTAGGGGTTCCCCAGCAGCCAGCCTGGAACACTGCCCCCTCAGGCCTTGAGCCCCACCACTGTCGAGCATCCCCTGACGGGAGCGCCTCTCTCTCCGCAGCTGTCACCGTTCCCATTCGACCTCCTGCTGCAGGAGGTCCACAAGTACCCCAACGCCGAGCTGGCCTGGTGCCAGGAGGAGCACAAGAACCAAGGCTACTACGACTATGTGAAGCCCAGGCTGCGGACCACCATAAACCGTGCCAAGCCTGTGTGGTAAGGCCAAGCACCACAGGTGCACAGCTAGCAGGGGCAGGGGACGGTGCCATGCTCAGGCCCTTCGTGGCCTTTGCCATCACCACTCCCTGTCACCCCCTCAGGTATGCCGGCCGGGACCCAGCAGCGGCTCCAGCCACCGGCAACAAGAAGACTCACCTCACAGAGTTGCAGCGCCTACTGGACACAGCATTTGATCTGGATGCCTTCAAGAAGTTCTTATAGGCTCTGTGGGCCACTGCCCCCACTCTATCCCTGCCTGTCCCTTCTCAACTACAGCATAGAGCCTCAGCGTGCCCACCTCTGCCGCTGTACCGAACACCCCCACTCACCTAGGAGTCAGGCTGCCCCCAAAGCCAGATGCACCCCAGGCCCTGTGACCTCTGTCCAACTGAGCAGCCTACCTGGAGACAGTGGGAAGCCCCTGCAACTATCTTGGCAGTGCCCCGCCCCCAGCTTCACCCCACAGGGCCAGCCTCATGGCTTCCCAAGTACTAGCAGTCCTTGTCACCCAGCAGGGGGACTCCTGCACTTGGACCAGGGTAACTTCCTCTTCCCGCTGAGTCCCAGGCCTTAGAGAAGCCATGGCTGCTGCAGGCTGCATGGAGGCTGGTGCTCTGTCAGGGCCCTGGCTGCACAGTGAACAGAAGGGCTGCTTGGGCAGCTGGAAGGAGGTACCCTTGGCCTGACATGGCACAGAGAGGGCAGGTCCACTCTGCAGTGCCCACATGGACCCCTGAGGAGGGTCCTGGGCAGCACAGGGTTCACGCTTAGGACGCTGGCTGCTGTGGGTCCTGCTGCCTTGCCGGCCCCTGCCTTGTGTCCCTTCACAGTGGAGACTGAAGCATTCTCTCTGCCATGCCAAAGTAATCAGAAGGGGAGGGTGGATGGGCAGGCAGCGTGAGGCTGAGGGCCAGCTCCCCTCACCCATCACAGGGACAGTTCTGATTTATTTATTTTGGTTAAAAAAAAGAACAAAAAAACTTCGCATTGCATTTGGCTTGACACATAAACTAAGTTCCCTATGGGCCTGTGTGTGCGTCATCCTTTCTGCTCCACTTCTGCCTGAAGGAAGGGGCTGGCTCAGGCATCTCTTCCTGCTTGGAAAACAGCCCCTCCACGGGCTGGGTGGAGCCACACCTCTTCTTCCCACCTGCTGAGTCCTCTGCAGATTGTTTTTGGGGCATCCTGCTTTCTGAGCCTCCCCTGCTGCCCTTCTCCCCACTCCACCTGAAAAAGTGCTCTGTGATATGCCTGAGCTGGGAGTCTGATGGGTTCGCCCAAGAGCATCCCTGGCCCCTTAGTGCACCCTCGAAGCTCGAGCCTTAATTGGACCTAAGGAGGGTGCCCCGGGGGTGCTCTTTCCATCTTAGACATACCATCTTGAGAGCACACGAGGCCAGGCTTGGCCTCCTGTGGTGTTGATAGGTCCCAGCACCAAGAGACAACTCAGGAAAAGGCCTGGGTGTGGACAAGGGGGTACCCTCCAGTAGCCAGCTCCCTGATGGTCACCCCATCCTCTAGGCCACAGCCAGGATCCTTGATCTTGAAGCCTGTCAGAATGTCTTCCTTCCCCGTGTGCCTGCACCCGGTGTGCTCTGTGACCAGTGTGCCCTGTGTCTGATGGGGTTGGCAGGGTGAACTAGAGCTGAAAGAAGCCAGAAAACTGTGCCAGGTCTTGTGCGTTTTATTATATGTATCTCAATATAAAAATGAAAAATAGAACATTAATGAAGTTGAGAAGCCAAGAAAGGAGGCAGAATAGCCCTTCCTTCTTGGAGAGACCCCTGAGCTCTGGCAGGCAGCTGGCCAACGTTGTGGTGCCTTGGCGAGTTGGAGGCCCTGCTCACTGCCGGGGTGTTCTGTGGCCCTACAAAGGTCTGGGCCCACTTTGGGGGACCTTTTTTGCACTCAGCCAGCCCTTGCGCGCTCCCGAACGAGTGTGTGCGTGCGTGTACAAGTTCGCAAGCCTGCAACGCGTGTGCATGAGTGCCTCCTGTGTGATTTCCAGTCAAGGCGCGTGCGTCTGTGCACGTGCGGGGGCGTGTGGGTGGGGCCTATTGGTGTGCAAGAGAGCACGGTGCGAGAAGGCTCTGCTGGCTGGGGAGAGACCGGACCTGTTGGGCTCCGACGCAGGTTGAGTGGAGGCCTGGCGCACAGTGGGCGGGATTGGGTCAGGTGCCTACCTTCCAGGGTGACCCCATCCTTTACAGGGAGATGTCCCAGGTTTCCCACGCTCTGCATGCTTTCCAAGCAGAGATCCTCCACTGCGACCATCCCCACCTGGGGGCCATTCTTGTTGAGGTACAATTGACATACAGTGTTGTATTAGCTTCAGGGGTACAACATAGTTCCATACTTGCACATACTGTGAAGTGACCCCAATAAGTCCAGTTGCCATCCCTCACCACAGTTACAATTTTTGTGTGTGTGATGAGAACTTGAAATCTATTCTCAGCTACTTTCAAACATACGGTGCATTCAGTATGGCTACCTAGCCACCAGGCTGCGCACTGCATGCCCCTGACTGACTTTAAAACTGGTAGTTGGTACCTTTGACCACCTTCACCCAGGGCCTCCCCCTCCCCCTAGGGCCTCACCGACCCTCCCTTTGCCCTCACCCCTGCATGCATGGTAGGGGAGGGGCTTGGATGGTGGCCTGACCTCCCACACTTCCCCTCCTTGCCCCCTATCTGTTGGTGTCAGGTGGGCAGACGCCCTGTCCCCATACCCAAAGCTGGACCCCAGCTGGGTGTTCCACTGCACTTGGCGGCCCTTGGCCTGTACACACAGTTCTTAGTGTCCCTTCCCTGCACCTGTTCTGATCCGGCCTTCCAGGGGTGCCCACGTGGAAAAGTCTGCTGAGTGCCTCTGGGCCCTCTGGTAATTTTCTTTGCTCTAAAGTCTACTTTATCTGGTAATGTAGCCACTCCTGCTATTCTTGTGTTAATATTTGCATATGTGTGTGTGTATATATATATATATATCCTGTCAAAATAATAGGGTGTTTTTCTCCATAAATTTCAGATTTATATAATCTCTCTAAAAAGACAACAATTAGCATTTGTGGAGAATATATATATATATATATAGTTGTATGTCTTTTCTCCATTTAGTTTCAGCCTGCCTATAGATTATTTTTTAAGTGTCTTGTAGACAGCATATGGTTGAGTTGTGTTTTTTTAATCCACTCTTCTAATCTTTGTCTTTTAGTTGTTATATTTTAGTTGTTATATTAATGTAGTTGTGGCCATAGTAGGGCTTAAGGAATGCCATTTTATTTTATTTTTGTTTGTTCATTCCATTTTTCATTTCTTTTTTTCCTCTGCCTTCCTGTGGGTTACATGTTTTTTAATAATTCCATTTTTATTTATCTATGGTGTTTTGACCTTTGGTGTTATAGTTTTTTAACAATTGCTTTAGGTATGACATTATATATACATAACTTATCACAATCTACTGGTATTATTTTACCAATTCAAGTAAAGTGTAGAAAATGTGCCCTCATTACATCCCTTACCCTTTCCATTTAAAATACAATTGCCTTGCCACAGCAATCAGACAACACAAGAGAAAAAAGGCATCCAAATTTGTAAGGGAGAAGTTAAATTCTCAGTAGTTGCAGATGATGTGATAGTATACACAGAAAACCCTAAAGAATTCACCAAAATACTACTAGAATTAACTGAATTCAGCAAAGTTGCAGGATACAAAATTAGTACACAAAAATCTGTTGCATTCCTATATACTAACAGTGAACTAGCAGAAAGAGAAATCAGGAAAACAACTCCATATACAATCATCAAAAAGAATAAAATACCTAGGAATAAACCTACCAAGGAGGTAAAAGACCTGTACTTTGAAAAACACTTGAGAGAAAGAACACACCAAGAAATGGAAATCTATCCTGTGCTTATGGATAAGAAGAATTGATATTGTCAAATTGGCCATCCTGCCTAATGCAATACACAGATTAGATGCAATCCCTATCAAAATACCAACAGCATTCTTCAATGAACTAGAACAAACAGCTCTAAAATTCATATGGAAAGACAAAGACCCCCAAATACCCAAAGCAATCCTGAGAAGGAAGAATAAAGCTGGGGGGATTATGCTCCCTGACTTCAAACTCTACTACAAAGCCACAGTAATCAAAACAATTTGGTACTGACACAAGAACAGATCCATAGACCAATGGAACAGACTAGAGAGCCCAGATGTAAGCCCATATATATATATGGCCAATTATTATATGATAAAGGAACCATGAATATACAAGGGGAAAAGACAGCCAGCTTCTTCAACAAATGATGTTGACAAAACTGGACAGCTGCATGGAAGAGAATGAAATTGGATTATTGTCTAACTCCAAACACTAAACTCAAAATGGATCACAAAACCTGAATCTAAGTCATGAAACCACAAAACTCTTAGAAGAAAACATAGGCAAAAATCTCTGGAATATAAGTACGAGCAATTTTTTTCTGGACACATCTCCATGGGCAAGGGAAACAAAACCAAAAATGAACAAGTGTGACTACATCAAACTAAAAAGCTTCTGTACAGCAAAGGACACCAGCAGCAGAGCAATAAGGTACCATACAGTATGGAAGAATATATTCATAAATGACTCATCTGATAAGAGGTTAACATCCGAAATATATAAAGAACTCATATGCCTCAACACCAAAAAAAATAATAACCCAATCAAAAAATGGGCAGAGCACCTGAACAAACACTTCTCCAAAGAAGAAATACAAATGGCCAGCTGATACGTGAAAAGATGCTCCACATCGCTAGTCATTAAGGAAATGCAAATTAAAACCACAATGAGATCTCACCTCACACCAGTCAGAATGGCCACCATCCAAAGGACAAGGAAAAAACAAATGCTGGCAAAGATGCGGAGAAATAGGAACCCTCCTACACTGTTGGTGGGGATGTAAATTGGTTCAGCGGTTGTAGAGAACAATATGGATGGAGGTTCCTCAAAAAACTAAAAATAGAAATACCATTTGACCCAGTAATTCACTCCTCGGAATTTACCCAAAGAAAACAAGATCCCTGATTTGAAAAGATATATGCACCCCTATGTTTATTGCTGCACTATTTACAACAGCCAAGATAATGGAAGCAACCTTATTGTTCATCAATAGATGAATGGATAAAGATGAATAGATGAATGGTACAGGGAGAATAGTGTTATGATTAGAGTTAGGGTCTGGGTTTAATGTGAGGGCAAGGGCGAGATTGAGGTTTAGAGTTATGGTGAGGTGTGAGTGATGTTGATGGTGACAGTGAGGGGTTAGGTTCAGGGCCATACATATACACAGTGGAATATTATTCAGCCATAAAAAGAAAAGAATTCCTGCCATTTGTGACAACATGGATGGAGCTTATTGCTCACTGAAATAAGTCATTTGGAGAAAGACAAAAACCATATGATTTCACTTATTTGTGGAATATAAAAACAAAGCAAAACAGAAGGAACAAAATGGCATTAGACTCATAGACACTGAGAAGTGACTAGTGGTCATCAAGGGGGAGCAGAGTGGGGTGGGGGGACTGTTGAACCACTATGATACATTGGATAATAAATAATAATAATAATAATAAAACTGCCTTCACTATTTCCTCTATATGCATTTGGAACCACATCTGATAGTGTTTTAAGTTTTGCTTCAATCACCAAACATAATTTAGAAGACTCATGAGAAGAAAGAAATTGTATTTTGTTTAACAACATTTTCTGTGTTATTTTTTTCTTTTCCTTTCAGGTATTCTAAGATGCCTTCTTGTATCATGTCCTTTCTTTTTAGAGAACTTCTTTTGGTTCTTTTAGGGTAGGTTTGCTGGTGACAGATTCTCTTAGTTTTCCTGCACCTGAGAATCTATTAACTGCCTTTTAATTCCTGAAGGACATTTTTGTTGGATATAGGATTCTGGTGTGACAGTTCTTGTCTTTTCAGTACTTGAGAAACGCTGTACCACTTCCTTCCGACCTCCGTAGTTTCTGATGAGAAATCC